CAGGACAAGCACAGAGATGAGTCCACTGTCAGAGGCCATAAGAAGATCATTTGTAACCTTCACTAAAGCTGTTTCTGTGCTGTGCTGAGCTCTGAAACCTGACTGAAACTCTTCAAATAAACCATTCCTCTGCAGATGATCTGTTAGCTGTTTGACAACTACTCTTTCAAGGATATTTGATATAAAGGAAGGTTGGAGATTGGCCTATAATTAGCTAAGACTGCTGGGTCTAGAGATGGCTTTTTGAGTAAAGGTTTACTCCATGCTGCCGTAACACACCTGGAGCTATGTGTGGATGCTTTTCATGGATTACTGCTAAGCTTTTAACACCATTCTTCCACACAAACTGGTGGTTAAGCTACAGGACCTGGGGCTTCCATACAGCACCTGCATGTGGCTCAACAGCTTCCTCTCAGGCTGTAGATAGAGAGTGACAGTTGGCCATCACACATCCTCAGCCCTGAGCCTCAGCACTGGCTCACAGAGACTGCTGCTGTCCTTCTACAGAGCCACCAACAGACACAGACCTATTGCATATGCATCTGGTACACTAGCTGCACCGTGGCTCAGAGAAAAGCACTCCAAAGGATCATTAACACCACCCAAAGGATCACTAGCTGCCCTCTCCCCACACTGGAAGATCTACACAATACCCACCGTCTTAAAAAAGCTGCTGCTACTAAAAAATGTCCATCACGCCACTCTTGAATTGATCTATGCGCTGACTGAAGCATGTATGTGGGAATGTATGTGAATGTGTGCTCATACTACTTTTATTAGCACTTTAAGTATTTTATTTATTGATTTTATTGAATTTTATTGTTTTATTTATACTTTCACATTTTTATTTTTTATGCACTGAACGGGGACCACTTATAATGTGGTTGTACCTGTGACAATGACAATAAAGACATTCTGATTCTGATCTTTGAGTGAAGTTAGCTCTCTTTCATTTCTCTCCCTGTCAAATATGGCAGCTGGACCTTTAGCTGCAACACACTCTCCATTTTGGCCTCCCACACTGAGACAACGTTTTCCTCAAGGGAAAAACTCAGCGTTTTGAAAACGCTCTCGAAAACGCTACCCCGGCGCAGTGTGGACACTAGAAAGCGCAGACTTTCTAAAACGATGACACATTTTAGTCATGTGATGCAGTCATGTGACCACTTTAAAAAAGATAGTGGAGTGCATTACAGCAGTTGTTTTGATTGCTCTCAATTTTGACAGCCCTAAAAAAGATTATTATCAGTTTGTACATGCTCCAGATAGCTTTACTTCAAATTCTTTAATTCCTACGCGCTTTTGCGCCTGTGGACGCACAACTCTGTGAAAATGACTGAAAACGCTAGTTTGGACGCGGAGCGTTTTCAGACGAAAACGCCGTTTTCAAATCTATCTAGGCTAGTGTGAACATAGCCTGAGAGACAAACTGCACACACACAGTTTGTGTTTGTTGAGTTGATAGAAACGCTGTGTTAGAAATTACCTCACACTTAAAAAGTATTACTCTCTTTATGTTGGCTCCTCTTCTGTAGGGCTAGCTAGATGCTGAAGTACCACAGCTTACAGACAGTTGCAGTCGTTCTAGTGCTGTTGCATAAACCAAACAAATTTGGCAAAATTCTAATCGGTTTGATGTTTGACGCATTCAACTCAAATCCATCAAACCAAAAGTAACAAGCCTGTCAGGGAGTAAAAGTAAAAAGCAGTCAGGAAATAAACTTCTCAAGTAAAGTACAGATACATGTTCTTAGGTAGAGTAAGGAAGTATTTGTACTTCGTACTTCCCACCTCTGACCGTACCTACCATACCTATTTTCTGTACAAGGTAGAAATCCATTGCATGCACTGAATGTGTGTGTCAGTATTCAGTGGCAGTAGTCTACCCACTACCAAAGTAATCCCTCTTTTTCACTGTCTTTGTTGTCTTCTTCTTCCTTCAGGTTTTAATCAAACAGATTGCAGCAATGAGCCTTACTTCACTTGCAGGAATGGAAAGTGCATCCCTCTGAGTTTGGTGTGTGATGAAAAAGGCATTGATAACTGTGGGGATGGAAGTGACCTGGAGGAAAACCTCACCACAGGCTGCAAAGGTCAGTTAGGCTGATACTTACTTAATTAGGAAATTTGAGGATTTTGGAATACTGTAAACAGTTTAAGAAATGTATTGTAAAGCTTACCAGTGAAACACCATTTGTAATATTTAATAGCTGACCCAAATCTGTCCTTCTTCAGGAGGTCAAATTTTACCTCCTGAACCTTCACCAGCAATAGCAACCCCTCCTCATCCCTTTCTGAGTCCACCCACTGTGCCCTTCCTGACACGTATGAACTGTGGTGCGCCAATTGGTCCTCCCAATCCTGAGTCGGTAGCAGGTACGTAAACTTGCACAAAGATAGTGATTACACCCTGTAGTCAGTTGGCTGCTAAATAACAAAATTCAGTTGCACTCAAGAGTAGTCCAATAAAATTTCTTCAGTCATTGTTTCCCAGAAGATCATTATCAGATGTGATGTGGCCAGTAGGGGTGACTGTGGAGGTGTCAGACTGTTTCAAAGCCTCGTTACAATTCTGGCACAATTGCTTTAAATGCTGCAGCTTTTGCAAAGCCTCGCTTTGCCCAGCGCTACAGAGCTCTATCTAGAGGAGCACACTGCTTGCTTTCAGTGGTCAGTATTTCATTCATGTGCTTAATTTATTGTGGAGAAGTAAGTTATAGCAAATATCTACAGAGCAACATAATTCAGTTGAAATAGTGGAGGGTTTTTTTTAAATATATTTTGGCCCTTTGTTCATATTCAGATATACTTTTAAGGAACTCTCTGCAGCAGGAACATAAAGAGAGGCTTGAAGTGCTGATGGATGGTCAGGCAATCTGTGGTTTATGACTTTTTGTCACCGTTTGTTTGGTAGAGGACTCAATCGCAGGACTCAGAAGCTTAGGGAGAAGATGAAGGGTTTATTTGTGATATTGCACCAGGTGAAGATATATAAATATATACAATGGGATAAGAAAACACAGGGCTCGAGGGAGTCCAAGGCTGAGGGAAAGGTCTGAGGCAGGCACCCACATTAGTTCTTCTTTACTCCGTCCGTGACTCACTCAAGCAGTCTGATCCAAAACGCTCACCGTCACTCACACACATCCACAGAGTTCAAGGCGACAGGGGACACAGGCAGGGGATCTGGGAAGCCTGTACACAGGGGAAAATACGTCAGGGAGAAACTCTGAGAAATCTCAAGGAAAAGATGCTCAAGTGGCTGGGCTACACTGACACTATTCAGTACAACGATCCAGCGAGGAAGCAGTCGCCTGCCATCTTAAGTAGTCTGCCAGGTAATCACTCACAATGAGAAGCCAGAGTAGGATTAGCATGAATGAGCAACAGGTGTGTGTTGAAGGTGGGTGCAGAGGTGGGGGAGCAAGGTCCAGCTCTGCCCTGGTGGGAGAAGCGAAGGCAAAAAAAACACACCACACCGGATCCTGAGATTCATGACACTTTTTTTATGAATGGATGATCAATGGGCAGGACATTTCCAAGTCCATGGACCCTGTTGTTTATCACTGAATTGTTGACTATTGTTTTTTTGTGAGGTGGAGCTTCCCCACACATAAATGAATGTACTTTTTCACTGCTGCTGTTTATTTAATTATGACTGTTATTTCCGATACAAATAACTATACTTTGTTTTAACTCTAGACTCCCCTGCCTCTTTGTCCCTGTTGGTTCTCTACATCATCATGGGCATGGTGACAGGTGGCATAGTGCTCTGCTGGTGCTTCTGGTCACCTGGCTGCTTCATGTGGCGAGTTAGCGCCTGTCGCTTCTTACCCTGCTGCAACTCAGCCTGTGCCTCATGCCAGTTGTGCACTCACAGCTGTATCCGCAATAAGGAGCACCGACCGGGAAAAGTCACTCCACACACACATGCCAGTGGCACACCAATGGGGACCGCGGTGGTTACTACAGCAGGTGTGTAAAGCAGCAGGACTGTCCAACAGGTCACAATTGGTACACAGAGATATGGCATGGACATGAATCATGAAGGCTGAGTGGTGTGTGACGATGTGTGAGACTCTGGCATGGACAGATCTGATGGAGTCGATTAAATGTGTTTTAAATGTAATCACACAGGTGGTGTCGTTTATGTTACTATGAGAAGATAAAGCAGGATAGAATTTATATCTGCAATTTAGTATGAAAGTATGTGATCAGTGTTTAGTCATATGCTATTTTCACTCTGTCTTTGAAGTAACTGTTTAGTCGTGCTGTGAAAATATACCACGTGTCCACAAAGTATGCTGAGGTCATATACTGAAGAAGCAGCAGTGGAGTGGCCCACCTGGTGACAACAGCTGTTTGTCCCTTTGAAAAATTCACTTTTCACTCTCCATGCTGACATACTGTGGGGGAACATAACTAATCCATCCCCTGATAAATTTGTAATGTTTCTCAGTTCCAAAGAAATGAACAGTCTCTAATAAAACCCAGAAAACCACATAACAAACGCTATAAATTGATTTGGATTTCATTACGTGAAATTCGTGGTGAACCTGTCCAATGCAGCCAGAATACTGCTTGCCACAGATTGGCTGTGTGCCCATGTACCACACAGATCCTAATCAGTCAATGAATTAATCAGTCAGAGACTGCTAACCTCTACTCATTATTTGTATAAAGCACTTCTGTCTGCAGAACCAGTTCCATCATTCCGACCTATCGACCACAAAGGGTAAGACTAAATAGCTGATAAAGGATGTCAGGGACACAATTGTAGACCTGCACAAGGCTTGAATGGCCTATAAAACCATCAGCAAGTACTAAGTCCTGTTTCTCTTGGGAATCAAATAAGGAAAATTGTGTTCGTTAAGTTAGTTCTTTGATGCAACAATGCTTCTTGGCAATAAATCTAATAACTCTAAAAGGCTGTGTGTATGATGCCACATTTTTAAGGAAACAGCATTTGTATTTGTGTTGTCTCTTTATTTTGAACATGTTAAAATAGTATAACAACAACAACAACAACAGAGAAAAAGGAGACAAACAAACAAAGAAAAACAAAAGCAAAACAAAACAATAATAATTAGAAATTATAAATAATATGTTTAAAAAGCAGCTGGAAGCAGTGTAAGCTTATTTAATCCCACCCCCTCTGCCTCCTTTAGTTACTAATAGGCTACACCTTTTCTCCCTGTCCATTGTAAATTCTTCCGTACAATTTGTTACATGTATTTGCTTTTATAACTGTAGTAACACGTCAAAAGGCTTTTACATTTACAGATATATATACTTATGTAAACATACTTGTGCACCCATACATACACATCCCTGTTGTGAAACTAATGGGGGAGAACACCAGATCAGAGCCTTTCCTCCTCCCTGCACTTTGCAAAAACCATAGTTTTGAACCTCTGTTTAAACGGAGTCATGCGTCACTCAGTCTGCTCCACAGCTTTATTCCACACACAGAGATGCAAAAGCCTTTTAGTGTTGTATGAATACAAGGATGTTTTACATTTATTTCCCCCCTCTAACTGTATCCCTCTACTCTTTTAGAAAACATTTTGAGAATATTGTCAGGAAGTGGGCTGTTTATTGCTTTATATATAATTTGTACAGTGAGAAAATGAACCGGATCAGTGAATTCTATAACCAGTATTATGGATTATCCTTATGGCCCTTTTTGCAAAATGAATATTGATGATAGCAAACACTTACAAGCACCAAACAGCTTTTTCAGCTATTGTCTCCTATTCGGTCTTTTTTCATTGGTCTGGATGGTTGAAGTCTGAAAAGAAAAAAAGAGACTCCACGTGCTCCCAGTACCTGCGTATGGCATCTCTCATCGCACGCTGCATGCCGTATGAGGCGCTCAAATCGCCAGTGGGGAGACCCACGTTGTAGGAGGCGGTCCTGGCGTTCATTGCAGTGCGGACCGATCTGTCCACCCACGGTTTCTGGTTCGGGAATGTGGTGACTCTCGCAGTGGGGATAATCTCCTCCGCTAGCATATTGACGAAGCATACTGCTACTTCCGTAAACTCGTTGATGTCGACTGGGGCATGCTCTGAACATGTCCCAGTCGACATTGTTGAGTGCGTCCTGCAGCGTAGCTTCTGATTGGGCAGACCAACGTTTCACCTCCCTCGTGGTTACTTCTTCCCTCCGTATGTTTTGTTTATACTGGGGAATGAGGAAGATGGCGTTCAAAACATTCCAGTGCAAATGCCCCTGACAGTGAAGGGCAGTCACGGCAGGCCTCCAGCAGCCCTCTGACACTGGAGAATGGCTCTGTGCAGTCTGTTCAGGATTGTCTGGATAGAGAGCCATCGGCCACATCATCCTGGAAGCCCTGATTACCAATTTGAAGATTGGCTATGGTTCCTAAATGCTGATAGGTGTGGAAATGGGATTCTTATGTTGTTGTCTTCTTTGGACACCAGGGCCCTGTTCCAGGAAGCCGGTTTAGTGGAAAAACTGA